CCCCCCCAAACCCCAACACACTGTTACCTTCTCTAAAATGCTTGAATAATTTGTTCTAGAATTATTTCACTTGAACTTTTGACAACATTATATTTAAAGTGAACAATTGATATACATTTCCAAATATATATGACTATGTGTTACTCATTTTGAAGTTTTGAAGTGTGTGATCATCCCATCTAAAAGCTTAAGCTTTTATAAAGAGCACATTTTTATTTGCTTAATTATGTTTTCAATACGCCTCCTCACGTGCGAGCCTGATTTTTTGGGGCCGAGCACGTGAAAATTCAATTTGATAGTGGGTAGCCGTGAGACGCGAAACCAGGACTTCTGCCTAATCTGGTACCATGTTGAAATGTGTGACCATCTTGTCAAAAAGTTTAAACTATATAGTGAGCATAATTTTATGTATTTAATTATATCTTCAACACTAGTCTACATCAACAGATTGAAATGCTTAAAATATTTTGATTATTTATTAACCACATGTAATTTCCCTCAGCAAGGATGGTCTTGCATAGTTTGGCTTGAAATTATCCCTTGTTCTTATGTTGATCTAGTTGTGGTTTAATATTGTTAATTGTCCCACATTAAGTTGAGGGAATGAGTTGTTGTCTCCTTATATAATAATGGACAATCCTAACCTCATTAGCTCACTTTGGGATTGAGTTAAGCGCAAGATCCATTTTTCTTAGTATAGGACCAGACAAATCACATCAATTCTTTGTTTACCCGATATTGTGCCCCATGTTATGTTGTCTATGTCCAGCCATGGGAGTGGGGTGGGTGAGGTTAAGTCCCATTGAGGGAATGAATTGTTATCTCCTTATATGGTCTTGTCCAACTATCAGCTCATGAGCTAGCTTTTGAAATTGAATTAGACCAAATGTCCATTTTGTTGACAATAGTTAAATGGATAGACCAAAAGTCTAATTTGTTGTCAATTGTTATGTGTCTCTGGCATATCGCCTAACCACACTTTCTCTAGAACAATTAAGCTTTGATTCTTATAGTCTTAAAGAGTCCAATTTTATATCTTTTCACATCCTACATGAAATAACTTGAAAACTGTCATATCTCTATTAAACTCTTATTTTACCCAGGGTAAGATTTAGGTTTGGAGGTGATTTCATTTTAATCAAAGAGATCAAGTTTTCCAGTTATGAATTTATGATGTATCATGAACATATTCTTGTCTTTCTGCCCAAATCTGGAAGCAGCCTCTTGCTGTGAATAACGTTCTGCATAGTATGTTCGTCCAGTCTTGTTAATTAAGATTTTGAACAAATCTATGAATAAAGTTTGTATTGTTGTTTGATTGCAACACAGAGGTTTTGGTAACAAACTGGAATCACAAACTATTTGATGCTCAGGTGCGAGTTAATGGTCCAGATGCCGCCCCAGTGTACAAATTCCTTAAAGCAAGCAAAGGTGGTTTTTTAGGTTCCAGAATTAAGTGGAATTTCACCAAGTTTTTGGTTGATAAGGAAGGGAAAGTTATCAGGCGCTATGGCTCAACTACTCCACCATTATCAATCAAGGTCTCTCTCTCTCTCTCTCTCTCTCTCTCTCTCTCTCTCTCTCTCTCTCTCTCTCTCTCTCTCTCTCTCTTCCAATGCTGACGTTTGTCTGGTTATCTTTCCCTTACCCTTAATTCTCTAAGGTATTGCTGTTGCAGTAGTATTTGTTCAGAAGAATTCCACTGAACTTGAGAGTATGCTATAGTTGATAAAGCAACAGTACACATTTTCTAGGAAAAAGGAACAAAGGCTATAGAGCTTAATTTACTTTCCTGTTTTGAACAGAAATATAAAGCATTTGTTCTATCTCTTGTTTGCATACATTTAATTTCTGTCAGAGGTTATTATATATAGGCATACTAATGATTCCCTAAACCCCACCTTATTAGCTTCTACATCTAAAAAGGGCAGCCCAGTGCACAAAGCATTCTGCGTTCACGCAAGATCTAGGGAAGGGCCGCACCCCAAGGGGGTGTGATGTAGGCAGCCTACCCTAATGCAAGTATCAGTGGCTGATTTCACGGCTCGAACCCGTGACCTATAGGACACATGGAGATAACTTGATCGTTGCTCCAAGGTTCCCCTTCTTATTAGCTTCTACATCTGAATCTCTTATTCACCTTGGGATGTTGTCAAGTTGTGGAATGAGGGGAAAAAGACCATATATTAGTGCCAAGTAGATTGAGGAGTCTTCAACTTGTTTACATTTCAGGTATCTCATGTAGAGATCATGAACTAGTCAGTTACTGTATCATTATATTTAGTCTAATACTTCAAGTTTTTCATGTCATATTTTTTTTTGGGTCTGATGATATCCAATTTAAGAATTAATTGCTTGTTCCTGTACTTGGTCCATGTACATTCCTAAATGGCGTTGACAGCTAAGTAAAAATTCTTGCTTGATTTTTGTTGCAGGCTGTTATCGAAAAGGCAATAAGGGAGAATTGACAAGGTTGTGTCTAGTTCAGAAGTGCAGTCAATTAAACTTGCGATATAAAGAAGAGAGAGCGAAAGAAGCTTTCTGTCAAATGCAATTTTCTTATTCTTGTCGTGTGCTTTTAAGTTCATTCCTTTTGGTGATGTTGAGGTGGTTTTCAGCCTTTTGTTTGGAGGATTCATGTGTTGCAGACATGAAAACGTAACTAAATTGGTCCTTATTACCTAATATTGTACATTTTCCACTATCCTTTTATGTATACTGATTATTAACTGTTAGAGATCGTTCGGTTCACAAACAAGTTTTGTATGGATTATAATGCAGAATTATATACAGTCACAATTATTGTTGGATTATTTTATCAGAGGGTCTATCGGAACAGTCTCTCTGCCCTTCCAAGGTAGGGATAAGGCTGCGTACATCTTATCCTTTCTAGACTCCACTTTTGGTAATTCGCTTTGGCAAGTTGTTGTTGTTCGTTCTTCACATGATTTGGAGATAGAGTATATACTCTATATAACATACTGTGAAACATGCCCTTTTAATCGGATAAATAAACAAAGAGTAAACTTGATCAAGGCAATTTGAGAAGGGAAAAAGCAAAAAGGAAAAAAATTCCGTTACCGGGAATCGAACCCGGGTCTCCTGGGTGAAAGCCAGATATCCTAACCGCTGGACGATAACGGAAGGTTGTTGCAATTGTTTCCAACAAACAACTTTATACCTGAATAGGCCAAAAAAGAATAAAATGTAAACCGAAAGAAAGAATGATTGATCTAGTTGTTTATAATAATGGCAGTGTAATTTAACTAGTTGTTTATAACAGCGTAATTTAACTAGTTGCTTATAATAATACAGTTGGTCTATGGTACAACTTTATTCAATTTCATACTTGGTTTATTATCATGTGTGGAAAAAAAAAAATACTTGGCATGAGGCAATAATAAACTAAGGAAAATAATAATTATCAATATCTAAACATTTTGAAAATGAAAGTTATGTTGCATATAAAAATATGAGATAAAACATAAATAATCTTGAATTTATCTCTTAAAAGTTTAAAAAATTAATTTAAACACTTTCTTATAATGCTGAATTCAGAACTATAAATATGTAGAAATGTATTTGCATTCGATGTATATGCCAAGCAAAAATGTTTCTGTAAAGTTTATCACTAAGCCATGGTAAACTTATATATGTATATATTCATACTTTAATTTATCACTCAATCATAGTAGATTAACATAGTTTGGTGCATGCATCCGGATTCGCGTAAATTCTTTCTACAATATTTAGAACAACTGATAGATAGTACCAAGAGATAATTAACAATAAACTGATAATAATTTAATGACACTTATGTCATTTATATGATCTTAAAAAAAAATGATAAGTCAAAAGCCATGTTAGCTCAATTCTCAATTTGTGATTGAATTGAGCGGATCGTACAGATAAAATCGTTACATGATTTTACTATAATAAACATACTGAATATCTTGTTGAGCAGATAAAAGTTATAAAGAGGTGAATTATTTTTTAATATATAAAAGTGCTTGTATTTATCATCGAGGTTATGATTTATAAATGAGTGAATTCTCTTTAAGTTTTTTCTCACATTTTTAACGGAAGAGTATGAAATTTAACTGGATCAATAGTGGCGGATTGGATTGCAATTTGAACTCTTTTGAGTTGTGATATAGTTAATCTTGTTAATGTATAACTCATGTATTTCTGCGTTGTATACTTTTTTTTTACTGTCCTTTTATATCATATTCCACTTAAAATCTGAATGATACTCACTTCAGTCCTTTTTATCTGTTCAATAACAAAGTTAGGCCAGAGAATGCTTTTTACTTTTAAAAACCAAAGACATGAATTACTTTTTTAACTACTTCGAGAAAGCTCATACTATTCATTTAAGGAAGAGATGAGAGTAACCTAATTAACATCTTTGTAATTAATGTTATTAAATATTCTTTCGTTATATGCGTTCAAACTTTGAATGACATATGAAAAAGGACAGAAATGAATATGACCGAATTGATATACATCGGGTCATTTTAATTGATTTTTTTTTGGTTGTTTTCACTCAAATTAAGAAACTCACATTTTAACATTAATTAATAATAAAGTTGACCCTTATTAACCTTTAGTATTACTTTAATGTGTTCTTTGAAAATAAAATAAATACTCAAAGATTTTTTATTCCAAGGATAACTTTAGAAAAAAGAAGTTAAATCCTTCTTAATATCTGAAAAAATCAAATTAAATATTATGAACTACAAGAAAAAGGAAAAAAAAAATTAAAGTAATTAAAATGGACATGAGGGAATAGTATATGTAAGTATTTATTTCAATAGTAAGGAGGTAAATGCGGATAAGTTTTTCCAGGAAAGTCCTATTCATGAATTTCCCAACACTTGTCAAGCGCCTCAGATTTCCAGTCGAATTTACTTGTGATATTATTAAATATTTAAATTAATTGACTTATAAGGAGATTACATTTTGAGGAGAGTAATCAGTAGATTGACAGTCCGATGACAAAAACACAAAACTAAATTCAAATATCTTCTTAAGTAAAAAAGTCATTGCAGACGCCGAGGTTGAAACTGATATTAAAGTGTAAGTGCATGAAATACTTGCGCTGTACGTTAACGAGATAACTGACCCCATTAACATATAGTGTATTTATTTCATGCGCTATATATAAAATTGTTCACCCTTTATGTTAACACTTATTTTGGTCACTTGAGTTTAAAATATCATTATTTTAGTTCCGGACTCTTGTTTTAATACCTTGGAACAATTTTCTTTTAACATTAACATTATGTATTTTTGGAAAAAGATTCTCTTATTATCAGCAAAAAGCCAAAAATAGGCTTAATAACAAAAGAAGTATTTGAGTATTTCCTACCATTCGAATAATTAAATGTCATCTCTAAACTTGACTGACATTGACCACTAACCGCAGCCCTTAGGGTCTGTCTTTTGTCTATTTTAGGAACATCTACTGGTACTTTATATCGAATCTAATACATTATTAAGGTTGTATCTGGAAATACAAGACTATTCATTGATACAGGTATCATCATATCAATGCAGTTAGAAAGGGGTAGTTAGATATAGCTCCACCCAATGTCACGTCAAATCAAATACTATTAACCAGCAAACAAGGGGTGTAGGCACCTTATACCATGCGATATTACGGGACACCGCTTGGTTAAATATTTTCAATAAATATTTATAAAAAAAATAAAAATATTGGGAGACGCATAGAAAATAACACCCTTGTAATTATAGTAATTTATTCATTTGTCCATTTTTTCAAATTATGATACCACCTATGTAAAATTCCATATATGCCACTGGCCAGAAAAGTTACCCTAACTTTTATCCATTACAACAACAACAACATACTGAGTATTATCCTACACTGTGGGATCTGAGAAGGATAGTGTGTACACACAGTGGCGGATCCACCCTTTAGGATGGGGTGGTATGGCACCCGCTAGGTTGGTAAAATTATCATATATTTATATAGAAATGTTCTTAATCTAGGTTCAATATTTGATCCTGCTACCCCCAGTTACAAACTAGACAAATGTGCCATGGCTGGTAGACCTTTTTAAAAACTTTTCTCGTGTGGAAAATTCAAATTCGAATTTATCTTGAACCTTATTTGACTTTTTCTTTTGTACTTTTTATTTTCTTTGTCCCAGTTATTATTATTTTTGGCTACCTCCTAATTTTCTATTTATTGTTTATTATTTTTTATATTTTTTCCCTCTATTCTATTATTTTATCTGTGATCTTTAGCAAGAACACTCAAAAGAGAGCCTCCAAAATTTAAAAATTTCATAAAATAACTCTTAATCACAAATATTTTAGTTTTTTTCTTTCAAAATCAAAAAACTTGGGTCTTGATCGGAATTTTGGATTGAGATAAAATTTAATTTTTGTAATTTCTTTTTTCTATTATAACATATAAATTTGTGCTATTCTATGATTCTCAAATACAACTTAAATCCCTTTACTATTAAATTATGATTAATATTTCAAGCATTGCCTAAAAAAATATGAGATTTATGATTTTAAGTTTTGGGAGCTTGTAGTTTATCTAGTTCTGTATTTACCTATGGGGAATAATTTATCTATTGAAAATATTTTCTTATTTTTCTTATTCTGATTGATGGAATTCCCTTATGAAGATGTTATTTTACTTGTCCACATTTATTTTTAGCATACAAAAAAGATGCATTTTCTTAGTGAAAATATTGATTTTACTTGTATTTTTAATAATAAATGTATGATTCCTTCTTTAAAATGCTTATTACATTTGCTTAGATGTAATTTTCATACAAAAAAAAAACATACCCAATGAAATCTCACAAGTAGAATCTGAAAAAGAGATGTAATTTTTATATTTGCAAATAAAAAATACCTATTAAATTGCCCGAATAAACTAAACAAAATGAACCTAACAAATATTTCGAACAAACTCTATATTGGTTATTACAATGTGTACATTACAGGAAATTGTGGCACCCGCCACCTTCAAATCCTAGATCCGCCTCTGGTACGAATACCTTACCCCTACCATGTGAAAATAGAGAGGTTGTTTCCAGTAGACCCTCGGCTCAGAAAAGTATAAGCACCATATTAATGAAAATATAGACAAGGAGAGACAGTACCAAAAAGCCATATAAAAGCAGAATAAAAATAACAAGATAGTAAGGTGATCAACAATGAAAGAAAACAACGATTAGTCATAAAAATCTATTACCAACAGAAAGCGAGACTGTGTGCGAATACTACTGTTATGAACACTCTAGACTACCTACTCTGCTACCCTAATCCTCGACCTTCATACCTTCCTATCAATGGTCATGTCCTCTGTCAGCTGAACTTGCGCCATGTCTTGCCTAATCACCTCTCCCCACCTCTTCTTTGGCCTACCTCTACCTCTCCGTAGGCCCTCCAATGTCAACCTCTCACACCTCCTCACCGGGGAGTCTGTTCTCCTCCCCCTCACATGACCAAACCACCTAAGCCGCGTTTCCAGCATCTTGTCCTCAATAGGGGCCACACCCACCTTGTCGCGAATAACCTCATTTCTGATCCTATCTAGCCTGGTGTGCCCGCACATCCATCTTAACATCCTCATCTCTGCTACCTTCATCTTCTGGACATGAGCGATCTTGACTGGCCAACACTCAGCCCCATACAACATCGTTGGTCTGACCACTAATCTGTAGAACTTACCCTTAAGTTTTGGTGGCACCTTCTTGTCACACAAAACACCGGAAGCGAGTCTCCATTTCATTCATCCCACCCCAATACGATGTGTGACATCTTCATCTT